GATGTGCTTTACATTGAATTTACAAAATCAGGTTTTTTATAGATACAAACTTCCTATATTTTTGTATATAGAGAAAGAATATTTTAGGTAGTTCGTAAATGAATTCACAAACAGTCTGTAATACAAGTAGCCCATTGCAGTTTATCACATTGATTCACTCTGGATTGTGGAAATACTTTTCCTTCTCCATAGTTAATGTTGAAATGAATTTCTTGTGTCAAGTTTCTCTTAGCTGCTCTATAGCTACACTGAAGACAAAGGAGAAGGTTCTGCAAATTAAGCATGCCAGTTGTTACCTTGATTTTAATTTTTTCTGGAATTTTTTTTCTCAATTTTTCTCAAAGTCAGCTTGACCTTCAAATGCTTCTCCATCCTGTTATCTCTCTACCAGTAGTATAAGGGATGGACTAACCCAGTGGTGAGGTCCTGCTCACTGCTTGGCTCTGGTGTGGAGGCACTCAGTGTTTCTGGCTGAGCTATCACCTCCCAGCATGTACTGGTGTTTCACCAGTCTAGCGTTAGTTCATGCGAGGTATCTGGGGGAGGAGGAGGAACAAGTACGACAATACCCATCCTGTTCTTAATTGCTTCTTTGTGAAGTACGCCTTTACGTCTGGCATCAAGAATTAAAACCAAATTATCCACATTAATTTACTGGCCCTCCTGCAAGGACCATAATACTGTTTCAAATGCTTCTCCAGGGGATCCTAAAGCTGGAGAAGGTTACTTCAGGGGACTGGATTCAGAGCCTTGTGTTTTCTGACCTCCCTGCAAACGGCTACTTCCTGTAAGTGCCACAGCCAGCCCGTTTTCCAGGGTCCACAGCCCTGACTTTGGGCTGTTGTAAGACAAGCCAAAGCCTTCTGAAGTAAATGAGAAGCTGTGGGCAAATTTGGATCAATTGCCTTTAAGGATTATGGGCTTTTATCAATACTTAGGTGAAGAGGTGTTTTCTGACATCCAGGTTGCAGGCACATCGTATATGTGCAGAAGTACCATTTAAAGATTGTTGAACAGGCCTAAGGTCAAATTACCCAGAAATTAGTATAAGAGAAAAGATAGCTTTAATCACTGGTCTTCACTAAAATCTTGGCAAGTACCCACTGGACATGCTGAGAATTTCCAATGTTATGGCCCTCAAACAACAATCCAAACCAAATCCAGTTAGGCAAACCCTAGTTTTCTTATGAGGGAAGATCCTTTCTTTAACAAAAAAGCTCTCAAAAATGTTTTTTTTTTTTCATTAATCTGCAGGCAAATTTTATATATGTGCTTAAGCTGATTTTTTTTTCATTTTAATGAAAAACAGGTTGTAAAGTGTTTTGAATAAATATTTTCTTTCAGATGTGAAATGCTTAAGTAGTTTGCTGTCTACAAGGATATTTGGGAAACAGCAGTTCCTCTTTAAGATCTTAAATTTTCATGCATAAAACAGCTCAGAGGTTTCCACGGGCTGAGGGGTCTATCTCTGTGAATCATGCTGCATATTCAGGGTTTTACCCTGTACAAGCTGGTAGATAGATTACAAGTAGAAAAAAAAAAAATCTGTATTTTGTAGAGAAGTTTTTAGCGATTAAAGTTAACTCCACTAGCCTTAATAACAGCCTGTTGTGACATGTAGATTTTTTTTTCATTTTTCTTCTGTACAAAGGAGTAAGTTCCCAGAGTACGTTCATGGTGTCGAACATACTGTGAGTGGCTGTTGACTTATGCTTCTAGAGATGGACAGCTGTTGATGAGAGAGCAACATATGATCTCACTAGTATGGTAGAAAATAAAGAAAAATGAATAGTAAATGTTCCCCAGGTCAAGGGCACCCTTGGGAAGATATACCCTATGCATCAGAGAGTTATGCCACAACCTTTTCCTCAGGAGAAAAGTAAATACCGGTGGCTCACAACGGCAATTTCTACTACGTTTTTATTTAATGCTTTCTCTTCTGAGCTCACTTTACTTAGCTAGAAAGCTAAGTGATTCGTCTCAAGTAGTTACTATTAATGTATTCTGTAGGCTTTCTGAAATATAAAATAGTATTTGTATGTATGGTTTACACCCACAGAAAATATTTTACAGGTATTAGTTAAAAAAACTCACAAGTCCTTAGCTGCAGCTGAGATAATGTGGGTTGTATACAAGGTGGCAGATAGAACAAAGACCATTTACTTTTAAAATCATATATTGCCCTTGAAATATTGGAAAAACCACATGGGAATTTGGGAAAAGGGCCTTTTGCCTGGTGTTAAGGAAACTGCTGAAGCTGTCAGTGTTAATTTTGTCACAACACTAACAAACACCCCCAGCAAATGGAGCAGTATAAACATGAAGGGAAATTTATATTTCCCTAATTGCAACATGACACCTCTTTTATGGGTCTACTGCCAAGCTCACTCCCCCCAGGAATCAGGAAAAAATATGAGGATGCTCATGCTGGAAAATCTCCCGTATGAGGAAAGGCTGAAGGACCTGGGTCTCTTTAGCTCAGAGAAGAAGAGACTGAGGGGTGACCTCATTAATATTTATAAATATATGAAGGGTGAGTGTCAGGAGGATGGAGCCAGGCTCTTCTTTGACAAAAGGAAACAGGTGCAGGCTGGAGATTCCACAAAAACACCTGTGAGGGTGACAGAGCCCTGGCCCAGGCTGCCCAAGTAGGATGTGGAGTCTCCTTCTCTGGAGACATTCACCCCTCCAGATGTGTTCCTGTGTGACCTAGGTTTGTGGTTTGTTTTTTTTGTGAGCTGGGGTTATTAGCTTAGAGAACCCCTAACATTCTGTGATTCTATGTGACCTAGTAGCAGCCTTCCGACACATGAAGGAGACCTGCAGGAAAGCTGGAGAAGGGCTTTTTACAAGGGCCTGTAGTGACAGGACAAGGAGCAATGGCCTGAAACTGAAAGAGGGTAGATTTAGATTAGCTATTAGGAGTAAATTCTTCACCATGAGGGTGATGAAGCACTGGAACAGGTTGTCCAAGGAAGCTGTGGATGCCTCATCCCTCCAGTTGTTCAAGGCCAAGCTGGACGGGCCTCTGAGCAACCTGGGCTAGTGGGAGAGAGTTGTCCCTGCCCACAGCAGGGGGGTTGGAACTAGATGATCTTCAAGGTTCCTTCCAACCTAAACCATTCTCTGATTCTGTGACCTACTCTAGGTGATTCTGCTCTGGCAGGGAGGTTGGACTAGGTGATCTGTCACGGTCCCTTCCAACCCCGAACATTCTGTGATTCTGTGAAACCTCAGCAGAGAACCCATGGAGAAGAGGAGTCTCTGGGCAAGCGGTGCTGGAGGGCAGGAGTCTGCCGGGGGCAGGAGGGATGCTAGTGGCCCTTTGGAAAACTGGAGGAAGTAACTTGACGTGCCATGAACTCTAATAAACCAATTTCCAGAAAGAGAAGTGATTAGAAGCAAAAACCGACTACCTTCTGTTCCTCAATTGGAGAAAAGTGAAGCACAGGCAGTGAGAGACAGACGAAACAGCCAGGCCAGGGAGCCAGAATGGTTTTTGTTGTGTACTCCACAGCTAATGCGTGGGGGTTTTTCACTTCTCACCTCCCTGTGCAATCTCAGGTGTTTCTCTGTCCTCTGACCTTGTTTATATCTGATGTCGCAGCAAGAAGATAAGGTGCCATTAGCTTTTACCTGAAAGGTTGTATTGAAGTAATTTTCTTCTAATCTGAGGGGTTTCAACTATAGCAAAGTAAAACAGAACTGGCCTAAGCAACCTCCCTAACCTGACCATATTGCAGAGAAATGAAGTTAAACATTGAATTGTGTGTTGGACAATTACTGCAAAATTGCTCAGCTTGCTTTTCAGTCACTGGTGTCAATTGTTTTCTGTGTGAAAGAGAAGGAATTCTTCCAAATTTAGGAAACGATCTTGCAAATTTTAGCCTGCTGTTAACAAAAAACAAATTTCAGGATATATTTTACCACTTTTTAAAGCCATGCACTGAAGACAACATTTAATGTGAAACATGTGGGTAATCCCATCCCAGCTAGTAAATGCATTGGGGTATCGGATGAGCTCCTGGGGCTGGATGGAGGTGTGGATGTCTCAGCGAAGCCATAGCAGCTGACCCTAGATGTGAGCCTTACCTGTCCTAAATGCAGAATAATGTCCAGTAGCCTAAGCATTGTAGAAGAAGGCTCTCCCCCACATTTGGGATAAGTCAAGAGAGCATACCTTGTCATTTCAGCTTAGCTGAAATACAATTACTTCTTTAGCTGCAGGAGCTCAACTGTATGGCTGAGCCTTAAGTACCTTTTTGTAACTTCAAGCATAGGCTTATGTGGTTTCCGGAGTTAGGGCTTACATTTTCAAATTAATGCTAACATTTATGCATGTGCTAAGTTTCGAGCGCTGTCAGTACTCACGTTGGACTTGGATTTACCCATTGAGAGGCTGAACTGTAAAGAAGAAACAAACCTAGTGGAATAGTCTCCTGTGTCAATGTAATTTATAAATATTTGTAGGATCAGGTCTGCAGGTTCAAATATGTCCTGTAGCTATTTTATGGCTTTGACAATATTACCTATTAATTTTACCACTTTTGAATTATTATTTTTTTTACTAATACAGAATTTGAAATTAATTTTCTAGTTATATTCTCTGTTGATCAGGAAAAAAAAAAAAAAGAAGTATCTATACAGTGTTAACATGAATATTGACCACAAGGTGAGCAGGGCCCTCTTTTTTGTCAGAAGCTTGCTTGTCAGCATGCCAGTGATAGATCAGATGTAAAGAAAATCACTTCTGCAAAACCAATTTGCTAAGGGGCTTGTAAAATCCATTTTTAAAAAGTTACTGAGGCGAAAAAGTGAAGGACCAGCCAACTAGATATTCTGATCGACTCTTCAAGGTCAAAACCTGATTACTAATTCATCAAATATCTTACAGGTAGCACTATTTGAAGAGCAAACAACTCCGTGCAGATGTTCTACCTAATAATTCTAATACCACGGCAAGATGGGTATGGTAGGAACAAACAGAATTTTTTACTTACTCTTGGCAATGCTACAGTCGTAGGAGCTGTGGTGTTCAAAGCACTGGCAGCCCAGGTCGGTACATTGTCCATTGCCATTACAGAAAGCAGGACACCGGAGAACAGTGAGGATTTCCTCTTGGGTAGCAGATGTCTGGTTTCCTACGTGAAAAGCTCTGTTTCTGCTTCCTATCAATCTTCTTTCACATTCATTTTCCAAAAGGGCTACCAGTGCCCTCACCCAGGTCACATCATCTTTGAGCTGCAGGTCTAAAAGGCATATATCAATTGCCTTGTCCATCTGTGTTCCGAGGAGACCTTTACACACTAAGCCAATGGTGGAATTTGCGAGAATTTGGTGGCAAATCTCCTGAGCTCTGGCAGCAGTTAGGCCATTGGGAGTCGGCCATGCCAGTGGAAATTTTGTCCTAATCCCTTCAAAGTAATCCTCTGGGAAAAAATATGCAAAGCTCTCTGAGTCCCTCTGGCTTGGTCCATGTAATGGGTGAAAGGATGAGTATTCATAATAGTCTTCCTGCCTTTTTGTTCTCTGTAGGCTTTCTGTTGTTCTGGTAGAGTTGATGTAACTGTCATTTTTCATGGAAATATTGTGTGTGAGGGCTTTTATTCGGCCCTCTGGGCTACCTCGCTTTTGGACTGATTTAGGCAGATACCTTTGATCCAAAGACTTGGTTGACAGTTTCTCGTCTTTTCTTAAAGTAGATTCTATTTCTGAGTGAGTGGCAAACTCTGACGTGATATCTAGATAAGGGATTGCAGAGGTATAATCCACATTATCATAATGGCAACCGGAGGATTGAGGGAAAAGATTCTGAAAGGCATTCAGCGTGTTTACCACGGGCACGAACTTCGTGCTTGCCTTCTGGCACCTGCAGTAATTTTTCCGTTGCTTTCCTTCAGAAGGTGCTGGTGTCGTGTCAAATAAACTCTTCCCTGGAGGTATTCTGATTTAAAAATAGAAAAAGATTAGGGGAAGGGAACTTTCAACAAATTAGTCCACAACACCAAGTAAACTTTCTTTCCCTGAGGGCAGGGAAAGTATAAGTTCCCAATTTACGAAAGTACTTAAGAAAATGCTTAAGTTTAATCTCTCTTTTCTTTAGTCACTTTTGCACTGCCCTTCCTGAGGTGTCCTGTATGGTTTTTAGCACTACATGGGGACTTCTTAGTAACAGATGCTTAAGTGCTTTGCTGGAGCGTTGCCTAACTGCTTGACTTCTCTTTGCAGAACTTCCAGGTTACCCTTTGCGTATTACACCTGAGATAAGGCCTTAGATCTGTCCCTGATGTGACTCAGGTACAGCCTGGAGAATGACAAAATGTTCTAAATGCTTTATTATGAAAATTGCCTTTATCTATTTGCTTGTGTTCTCCTTACCAGGTGTTTAAGACTTGGATCACTATGTTTTTTCCTTTAAATGTTTTTTTTTCTTTAATATTTTTCTGTTTAAAATTTTTATGCATACTTCATTTCATTCTTGTCTTCTAATGGAGCTTTCTTTGAGTTTTCTTTTTGACACAAACAAGTTTTTTACTGATCATAGGGCTAGGCTATCAAATAAGGTGAGGTGACTTTTTTTCCCCTCTATTTAATTTAGTCCAGGTTTAATGATGGATGAACTTTGAGAGAGTTCAGTTTGAATAAACAGCCATGACTAAAGTTTCTCTGGAAATTTCATGAGCACAAGATCTCTTATTGATCTTACTTGTGCAGCACAAGAGAAATCCAGGAGCTTCATAGATAGATATGCTTCTTGTCTCAGTAGTTGTTAACATTCCACTTCAAGACAAATTTAAAATATCACTACAAATTTAGATCATTTTGGCATTAATTTTGTCTTGCAGCTAGAATGCAGAGATTTCAAGAAACTGAAGGAATTTGCCAACATTTTGGAACCAGACGCTAGATACTGATGTAGAAACCATAAGTGCCTTTATCCAATCTTCCAAAATATGTTGAAAATTGCATATATGATATTACTGTTTTAATCATTGATTCCTTCTGTTCCCTGTGTAAGATGACTACTTTATCATTCCTCTTAGCTGCCCATTATAATCAAGGGAAAACTAAAGACAAGTTTTTCAAACCTAGTTGGGTACTATTATAGAATGCAAAAATAATTGCATTGCTGCTGGTTTCTCAAAAGATTTGAAAAATACATTTTACCTACTTGAAATACATGTTTTAAAATTCAGCTCTTCTTTGCCTGGATGCTATTTCAGGACTAGGAGGCTCTGATGTTGTTTTATTGTTTAAAAGTTGCATTAGAAAGCTGCTGTTTAAAACAGATGTGTGCTGTTCAGAGCCCTGCAGCTGCCTGAGAGAGGTGGGAGCCAAGGCAAGAGACAAACTGCCAGATGGTGAGCACTCAGACTAGCTTCAGGTGCTGGAGAAAACCTAGCTTGCTTTCAGTGTTATTTAAAATGAAATTAAAAACAGAAGCAGAAAAAGCACCCTCTAGGTTTTGTTTTTTACTGTGCCATTTCTCCACGGGTGGATCCGAGACAGATCCAGTCTCCTCTGGAGATGGCCTCAGCCTTTCCGCTGGCTTGATTTGTTAACCAGGTCCTGAAGGGTCCTTGAGAATCCGTCCTTGGGAGTCCTGTACGGTCAAACTCATCACCCCTCTTGCCCTTCTCGCTTAGCAGGAGCTTCTCCTGCCTTCCCCAAAGTGTCTCCATCATACGTGCCGAGCCCTAGGAAACTCCTTGCTGACTTACAAGTGAGTTCCTGTGTATTGTGCTTTGGCTTCCGATCTTTCAACAAACTTGCTCTGAACAGTCCCTGCTAAGGATCTTGTGAGCCCCTCTTAGGGTGATCAGCAGCTGGTCAGTTCTTTAACCAACGTATTTGAAGAAGCAAGATCTAACTGATTATCACATTGCTAAGATGTTGAAGGTGGCTGTTGAATTCTAAATAGTACAATTTGTAATGACAGGTCAAAATTGCTGTTAAATAGCCATTACTTAGACTCATTGAATATAACTAAAATATGGTAGAGGTGTTTCTTTACTTTCTGAAATGCAGTAGGTCTAAAAATGTATTGTTCCTATGGAATTGTTCTAAGTTCTCATGTGCAGATTAAGTGGTATGTTCGGGTGGTTCACCTCATTTTTCCTTATTTGCAAAACATAATTCACAAAAAAACTACACAAACTACACAGTCAGCCAAACCCTTTTTTTTTGTTTTTTTTTGTTTTAGGAACACCTATTAGGCACGTTTAGAGTTCAGCAATAGGAATTAAAATGTGAGACAGGGATAAGGAAAGGGAGAGGGACGGAACTATGTCAGCGCAGCAGCCTCCTGGATTTGGTTCCAGACCATCTGTCTCAGCGAGTGCAAGTTTTTAGAGCTCACTGTCATCATTAGTAGAGTAGATACTAAGTTTTAGCATGGTACATATATTACCACACTTTGTCAAAATGTAGCATTTAATCTATACTCACATATTGTAATTAGTGTTCAGGAATAAAAGAACAAGGGAAATACCAAACCCTTAATTAATCTCTATTGTCAGTTATCTACGTTTTCTAGTGTGGGTGAGAAGCGCATTTTTTTTAATGGCTGAGCAGAATCTTAACACAGCTGTTAACATGACATCACTTGCAAATATAAAACCTCTCTCTCAGTAACTGCTTCTGTGCATCGCACTGACTGGAAATGAAGCCCCCATGCTGTTCGGATGGCAACGGGTCTCCAGGCATCCCTCGCTAGATTAAGCAGATCTCTCTGTCAGGTCGTTAAGGGAGCATGTAATGAAATAAAGCTATCAACACTTCTCGAAACAGTGCCACAGAGCCCCTCCTGGGCTTGGATCCTCTCTCACTTTGTACCTCCACTCCTCTATGAAGTCTTCCTCGGACACGTTGCTCAGGTCGTTGTGACCGATCCCGTCAAAGCGGCCACACAAACCTCTGGTGCTGTTGAAGTCGCTGCCGGGTGTCCTCACCGTCAGACCCATTCCCCACTCGCTCACGTCGGCTCGAACAAATGCTCCCGAAGGGAACAGGATCTGAAGAGGCAAAAAAACCCCCCACAACAGTGAATTGGAGCCAAGCTTTTTATGCAATAAAAAATGTCTCTTTCTATAAATGAAAATATAAAAGTAAGGCATTGCGATTGAGGAGGTAATTTAAGATCACTTAGATGCACTTCAAATATTTATTTTTGCTATTGTTTAGCTTACTTTCAGATTCTATGGCACTAATATCTGATAGCATTACATAAATATAAATCTGTGCAAATGCTTTCTTTTTAAATTAATAATTACACCCACTGAAGTTTTCCCACTGGTAGGTTAGCAGCTAATTTTTGAAGCAACTTCTGTGACAATAAGGCCACCCTTGTGTCTTTGCCTGGAAAATAATTTCTTTTAGATTAACTGCCAAGTTTGAAAAACAGCTTTCTTTCTTCTGAAAAATCGTTTCATTTTCCAAGGCCAGATTACCCAGAAAATGATCGTATTTTAAAGTGGATAAAGCAATTTTCTCATTAAAGAACTTATGGTAGGCTTACACTGACCTTTAAAAGAAAAAAAAAATTTGAGTTTGAGACAAAGAAGTGTCTGTGTGGATAATGTATTTTTCAGATTCTTGTCCCAACCAAATTATAAAAAAAGTAAAAGGAAAAAATCTGTTCAACTGAAGTGTATCTTTGTTTGTTTGCTTTATTTCTACAGGCAAAAAGGTAATTATTTCTAAAACTTATCTGTGCCAGGAGTGAGAGCAGGAGCATTCTGTCCTGATAAGTAACCTTATTTATTTATTTTTTTTAAAAAAAAATCCAAAATCAAATCCACCAAATCTAGTCATATCTGTGAAGAAGCAACTAGCTTATATTTGTATTTCTGTGCTGGAACTCAGAGTTTACATTTTGGCTGCACTTAATAATTATCTTTCCCATTTTGGCTTCCCACTCATCATTTTAGGCATGCGAATACTTCTTGAGGAGCTCTGTGAGCAATCTCCTTGTCCAGCAGAGCAGAGCAGCCACTGGTTGCCCTGACAGCTGGGGATGCTATGTTTGACCTCACACCCTCTCTGTTTTGATCAGGGCATTTAAGGCATCCTTTTGTCCAAAATAATCGACCTTGATGAGTAGCAGAAGTTATAAAAACAGTTCTTTGAGTATGTCAGGAGCGCTTGGCTCTGCCTCCACCTTGGCTGTATGTTTTGCTTCCCAAGGTGAGTCTGAAAAATAGAAGTTCCCCAACAAAGCTCAGATGCCTGATAAGTTAATTTTTTTGCTTAGTGGTGTAACAGGTAGAGCAGGAGAACTGCAATTGACACAGTGCTGCGTAGGGTTCGATTTTCCTTTTCAGGTAAACGTGTACCTGATAATTACATGCTTTACTACAGAGAGGAGCATTTCCTACAAAGCTGCGTATAAAATCATTGCGGTCAGGACAGCGTGAGCAGCTTCAGTCTGCTGTGTTGTCTGGATGAATCTTTCCAGGTGTGGATTTATTTCAGGACTTCAGAAGGCTCTCTTCTCCTGCTGCCGCTGGCAAGGCATCCTGTCTGCCACCAAAGACCTAACAACCACCCAGGTGTTCTGAGGCTTTGTAGAAGCTTTTTTGGGACCTCGGTTTGCAGAGATATGTAGGGACTGGCTGCTGGAAGCTGCTACCTTGCATGGAAAAGGGAGTGGCTTCACCCCACTCATCTGCATCAGCCTCGAGTGGCACAAAAGCCACAAGGGAGCCAGATTCTTCCTTCCACGAGGCTGGCGATGGGCAACTGCTGAGCAAATGGGGATGCACTGTGCACAGCGGTGTGATCAAGGATGGTGTTTATTGCTCCACAGTTCCTATAGACACCTGTTCAGATCAGGGCAGGATTCATATTTGTGTCTTGGGGGCATCCTGATGGGTTTCACCAAGACTCACCTGAGGTGTAAATGAGAACAGGGATTCCTTGCTGAGAGTATTCTAGTAATAAAACAGTAATTATATTGCATTCAGTTGCAAAATGAAATGACAGCTTGTTTTCTGCTTTTTCTCTATTCTATAATTAACAGACTCAATTACTACCTTACCAAGATCTATTCCAAATGAAATCACAAGGAGAGCCAAGCAGAGGCTCTCCCTGCATCATTCTGGCTCTATCATGGACCCATCTTCACCCAAAACATTTCCTGGCAATAAATCTTGATGACACAACTCTAGGATAAATTTGTATTTTTGGCCATAATTTGTAGCTCTTCTCCTCACCAAAGCCCCTGGCGCAGCCTGCTCTTATTCTTGCAGTGATTTCACTGGATTAGTGTGGATAAGTGATACTCATGCAGAGTAGCTTGTGGCCATATATTGTTTTAGGCAAACGCTTTAAATTATACCAAATGTTGCTCATTTGCAGCCCATTTTCATGACTTTTGGGGGCTATCTGTATCTGACTAAAATTGCCTTACTGTTCTACTCTAAAACTACATTATTCTGCTACCTGTGATCTTTCCTTGAATATTTATATCATAAGCTCTGCAGAGAAATTTGCTTTATGTGCAGAGGTTGTGCAGTGCCTAGCATAAACAAACTCCAAGCGGATTGCTTGCAGAGAGTAAGTAATGGCATTGGCACTCCGCTATGTCTCTGAGAAATTTCCAGAGTTATTGGGTTTGTTTTGCTTTACAGTTTCTTAAGGTAAATCTTTAACCAGCTTCTTCCCTGCGTCTTGGTTTTGGGTACCTTTTGTGCAGGTGTGCTTATGGCTTCAGATGGGTATTTAGTGAGGATATATCAAGCTGTAGCCCTATATGCAGTGCTGAATTTACCTCTTGTTTCGCAGCAACTTCATTAATAATTCTGAAACCTTAAATCCGCGTTTTTGAAGAGCAACAATGACAGTACTTAAACATCCACGTACTGTTATCTTCCTCCCTCCGTAAGACTTCAGGATTTTGACGCGTGGCGATGCCTCGACGCTTTTGATGGTGAGCTGGGGTCTGCTCTCCCGAAAACGCCCATTGCAGGTGTCCAGCACCACGGTGTCACCCTCCTCCCGCGCGGCCACGCCGCAGTTGCAGGCGGTGGCGGCGCGGTGGCCTCCGCAATCCCACTGCCGCACGTGCACCTCAAACGCCCGCGACGTGCTCCGGCACAAGACAAAGGTGCCAACTTTATAGTTATCGTAGCGCCTAAACAGCAACCAAATAACAAAAACAACAAGATTTAGAGACCCTGGCTGGGATTACTTGTCCAACTGAATTAGACCAGCATAGAGTTGGCCATGAAGGAGGGAAAAACCAACACGCGGGGAAGGGTATCTCTGGCACTGTGAGCAAGGGAACGCCATCGCTGTTATTTGGATGGAAGTGCATAAGAATTCATGTGGAAAGCAGGTTGCTGTCTCCCAGCTGCTGCTATGGCAACGGGCATGGATAAAAAGGATAAACATTTGATAAAAAGCAAATGGGAAAAAAGTCCTTGCCTCCAGGCCTTAATAAATGTGTTTTGGTTCTAACCGGATGCTTTACAACATGATATTCTTCAAAGCAAAATCAGTGCTCACATAACCTCTTCTGTGACGAATCACTAACTTTCACAAGACTGGCTGAGCCTCAGTGAATACTTAATGTGAAAAACTGGGATTCTACTGAAAACCTGTTTAAAATGAAGTTGATTCACCCCCTCGACAACTTCCTTGTAAGCAAAACTTTTGCTCTGAATGGCTTGGCAATCGCACAGTACGGTGTGTTGAACAGTTTGGGACTTTCATTCTCCTCTGTACAGACAGTCCTTGCTCCACCCAAGTGAGGCCAGGAGCAGGATAACTTCAATAATTTTGCAAGTGTTTCCTTCTGCACATTCCAGGTAAAACTCCTTTGCCTGAACCCCCTTGGGTTTCACAACAGGGACCTGTGAGAGGACCCTCCTCTACTTGTTCTTTCTTTTTCTCACTTCATAAGCTTATTTTATTCTTACTCTGTTTTATTCTAATGTGATGTTTAATAGCAAGGAAAACAGTAGCTGTATACTTTGTGTGGCTGGAGTTTTCTCCTCACAAGCCAGCGGCTGCCACCCTTAAGAATGGTAGATTGTTCTACTTCCATTTAAGGCACTGAATTTAGTTTTAAACATGATTTTTATGAAGTTAAGTAATACGGAAACCAAGCTACAAGCTTATAATAATGTGTTATTCTTTTCTACAATAACAAGAAAATATAAAAAGGAATGTGTAAAATACATCAACTAAATAACAGGATTATTCTTAAGCACTGTCATGCAAACATCATTTTTTCTTTTGGTCTGTTAGTGTTTCCTGTACAGAGAAACGAATAACTCAAGAATCCATGTTTTTTCACATGTATATATCTACATTTTATTTCTTTTCAGAATAAAAGCCATGGAAACCTATGTAGCTTAAAACATAACAAGAATTTAAACTCCAACTGCTTTTCTCTGCTAGCAAACACATCTGACTGTATCTTTCATCCTGAAAAGCTTAGTGAAGTTGGCTGTAAACCGATAAGATTTTGAATGGTTCTGTCTCATCTTATTTTCTAATCAGGTACGTAAATCCTAAGCACACTGCGCAGATGCTGTTGGTAAGATTGATTAGAACGAAGGACGACATAAAAACTGGATAATCTCTTTTAACATCAGGTACTAGCTCCATTTGGAAATCTTCAGAGGAGAGGCGGGATATTTTATGGGAATCACCTTCCACAGTTCCCTTCAACCAGGTAAGCTGAGGAGGAAAGGTGTTTAGAGATGTTGATGGAAAATAATGCATCGGAGTGGCTGTACCCATGATGAATCAGCTGTATCTGGTAAATAAGACTGTACTAGCATATGCATATAAAGATCATTGCAGTTAGGGGAGCTATTTACTGCTTAATAAGCACTGATGGTGGACCCAGTCCAACTCTTCTAGAAGTCACTTAGAGTCCTTCAGTTAAGTCATGGCATAGATTGCATAGCACACAACAATTCTGCAACATGTCTAAATTGAAGCTTTCAGCTGCCTTTGAATTACTTGAATGGATAATTAAATGTAGTCAGGTAAACTTTTGTGGTTTTTATACTACTGCGATTGTGATGATGATTCTTTGGGCAACGTTTGAGAAATTGCAGCACTAAACCCATAAAGTAGAGTTGCTGAAGCTCTTGCATGGGGATGCTCTGCGTGTACCTCCATGGCTACAGACTGTTTGGGAAGTGGGATGGGGAAGTGTAATGTAGATTGGGGTCGAAAAGTGGTTCCCTCCCTCCACATCTATGTATTTGGGTTGTTCTTCAAGGGGTGCGGCAAGTTCTTGTCCCAGCATGAAGTCATGGCTCAAGTTGTGCTTTTATTCCCAGAATTATAAAACACTCCCAAGTCTTTGGTTATGAGAGTGAGTTGCTATAGGAGTAATTTTTATTGGTTTATCAAAAGAAATGGGCAGAAGGTAATATAAATATATGCAGTTACTACTCACAGTGTTAGGTTAACTAACACAATGCACTTACTATTCACCAAGCTACACTTCATCTTTGTATGAATTCAGTTATTATTGTGGCTGTTCCTAGAGGTTTTCCACCACAGTTTTGCCACTAAATTTGTTGACGTGTCCCTCCAGGCTCCCTCTTTCATTGCACGTAGAACTGTATCATGCAGTGGTGACCCTGGAATATGCTGGACGAAGCTGAAGGATGTTCTTTGGTTTCAGAGTGCTCATTGCTAAGGACCGATCATGTTTTCGGGGAGCTGGGTTATGGTCAGCGGTCACTAGATGTTTGGGGACGTATAAACTTCTCCAGACTATCAAGAGCAACACTTCCGGCAGGGCTGCTCATGCCCAGGACTTAGTTGTGGGCTTTGATGAATATCACTAAAGCCAACAGTGAGCAAGCTGAGGGATTTTGTCCTAGTGCAGGAAATGTTGTCATTGCCCCTGTGATAATATTAATAGATGGGTTAGTGTAAATGTCTGATAAATCTGTAAAGTCTTTCTCAGTTTTTTAAGGAAAAATGCAAAATAACATGAATGATACATATAGTTCATCAATCAAGGAATATTTCCATTTTTATATTTTGCCTTAAAGGGAATTTTCTGCATATTTAGTTTTAAGGTAGTGCTTCATATTTAAGAATCTACAATTTATGACTTGAAAAGCTTTTATATTTATAATGTGCCATAACTAGTAATGAGGGCTATACTTTTACTTTACCAGGCTTTCACATTTGTTTAATTTAGAAGGTACTTTGCTATAAAAGGAAGTGCTCTCTCTGGATTTTAGCTGGTATAATTAACGCTATTTCACATCTATGCTCCAATATACACAAATTGGTTATGCTTACACCGTCAAATATGATGCATTCTTCTTTGATTTTCCATCACTTCCTTTGGTCAAAAAAATAAAAAGATTACAAGATAAGTATTTCTATAGAAACATATTAGCAGGAGGCATACCGAAGGGGAGTGTTACCATTAGAGGTGGAGTTAGGTATTTCAGTTATCTAATGAGTAGCTCACTACCTCAGATGTAATGTGAGATCAGTATGTCAGAGCAAAAAACGTTGAAAACACTCTAAAAATTACAAAATTACGTATTATTGTGAAATCTTATGAAACAACCTATTCATTGGAAGTGACCTTTTCAGTAGAAATGTTTTACTACCAAAACAAATAAATTCCAATCTTTTGCTTTTCATGTCATTTTTCATTTCCAACAAATCTCCTAAAGAAATTATTTGAGTAAATATTTTTAAATTATGTTAAGTTTTAAATGGTTAATGGTTTTCATTTAAATTTTGTCAATGAAAAGAAAGGTTACAGTTTTCTATTTTCCTGTTTGTTTTCATCCTTACTTTTCCCTACTGTGTGTTTTTCCTTCTCTTCACCATTGCTAATGGGAAAGTCAAAGAAGGTAAGCAACTCTGTGGAAGTTCTGTCTATGTGCATGCCTGTTTGCATAGAAAACACTCCTACTGTTTTGCTGTTGGTAGTGTTCCCCACCTTCAGACTATCCCTTGCTTGTCGTGAGACAGCCCTTCAGTGAGCCATCCCCAGGACTTGCGTGGGTGGAAAGGGGTCCAAAGAGAATCTGATCACGCCCCATCCACAGCAGCTCTACCTACAACAGTTTGGTCTTAGAGTCTGCAGACCCACAGGCTTTGTGGTGGAAAAAATGGATTTCCTTGGGCTATATTGTTTGATGGATGCTCTGCTGTTGACCTCAGAAGCAGTGTTGATAGTTTATTAAGCTTTGTTTGCTACCATCTTTGTTTGCTACCATATTTGTAGCCATACAGAGGTGGGTAAAGGCTGCCATTTCCTTCAGTTCTCATTGACTAAGTTTGGATGTTTCTTTTCTATCCTGTGTAATGTTCTCACCTGAGCCTGTGTCTATAGATCACTTAGAGTATGTATAGCTCTGGATGCTCAAGAGCTGGTGCTCCACTCATTCTCTCAGCCTATTGCTTCATAATTCCTAGAAGTTTCTCTTAGCTTTTTATTTTCTCATTTTGCTGTTTCCAATCTGCAGATCAATCTCCTTCTGATACTTTTTTTATTATTGAGGGACACTCATATGGTTCCATACTTGAACCCACAAACATCTTGTGCAATTCTTCCATTCACAATATCTCGAACATGATTTCCCACCCTGTACTCTTTCGTGACCAAAGGGGAATGCTGCAGTTTCATACTTCTGTGACAGACTTTGTCTTTAAGTTTTAAGTTTCTGTCAGGACAGAAGCAGGAATTGCTCTCCCCACTCCTTAAATACAAAGCTTTAAAATTATTTACTAATGTGTTAACATTCTTTTGGGGAGGCAGACAGAGAAGTCGCTTAACTGATGTGTAATAGGGTGGCATAATCATTACAATAATTGAAAGAGAAATTATTTACAATAATAAATGGGAATATAAGTAGGAGTAATAGGACTGTGAAATGATGGGTAAGAAACTTGGCTGAATATCAAGACATGATATATCTTAGTGAAATAACCTAGTTATTGAGATGGCAGAAGCCTCATCAGCTTGGCTCATTTAAAGGTGCACTGGACACAGCCGTAATGAACGTCCGTCCACAAGGTAGAAACGTGCAGTTATTGAGGAGGACGGGTTCTTCCAAACTCCTTGTGCTCAGATAGAATTGTAAACTGCTTAGAACTGTTTCTGTGTGCTATCAATAACAGGGTTGCCAAATGAGTTATTCAAATAAAACTGCTCTGTTTTGGTTTTCCCGTGGAAGCAATGTAAAAATGTGCTACATGGCTGGAAGCATTGCCCCGTTCCAAGAGGCACTTTTCAGCAATTTATGGCTTCCTAAACACAACAACCTGGCAGATCACTGTCCACTCTAAGCCCTAAAACAGAAGCGAGTATTTTAGAATATGAATGTATGGAGAGTTTTGAAATAATATTCTCATCTATTTTAATATCCCAGAGTTGAAATAATAGCAGGTACATGAGGCGTGGGAATGTCTTTGCACCTGAGGCAGCTCTTCTGCAGCCTCTACATATTGAGCAACCACACTTGCATGAAACAAGGGCCTGACCACATTATAAACTGTTCAGCAAAGCAGGAGGGAAACTGGAAAGCCCTAGATGTACAGAGCTGATCTCGTAGTTGAGACTACCCAGTTTAGGTGAAATCTTTATTTGAGGCAAGCGTATAACCTTTAATGAAATCGCTGCCTTACTTACTTGTGTTTCATCGACAGATTTCTCCAGCTTTGACGTCACTTCAGATGCTACCTCCAGAGCATGCTGGACTGAAATTGAGGCATTAGGATATCAAAATGAGAATATCACGCCTGCCAAGCCCCTGTGGATGCTGTGTGCCTAAAGTCATTATCTGTGCCATTAGGAAGTTAACGGCAGAATGACAAACCTGGAATACGATCTGAAATATTAGCAACTTTGGATCAAACATGCCAGATGCAAACTTTAAAAACTTTCTGTGAGGTTAAATAGCTGGGGTAAATAGATTAATGAATGATTAAGGAAGTTAACTGAAAAAAAGCTCTGTACAGTATAGGCTGTTAAACACTAAGATACTGCCTTTTGCTCAGCAAGTCTTTAAGCAACTTATTGCTGCATCATAGAGGAGGACATCTGGACGGTGCAGGAGGGCATGCAAATTTATTTTTACAATCTTTCCCTGATATTTCCCCCTTATCATTTCTGGACTTCTTTCATCTGAGACAGAACAACCATCTTTATGGGTTTTTTTCGGTTGTGATTATGACAGTCAGCTCCACGCAGAGATGCAGCTGTGCATAAACCAGCTGTGGAAGCAGAAGAACGCAAGAGCATCCTTGGGCTGAGGGACTTTGCATCAGTGTCACTGAACTGCCAGGCAGGCCCAGGCTGTCCTTGCGTGCTGTGCTGCCCCAGGGACCTACTGGCTCACTCAGGTGGGCCTGGGGTGTCACTAATACTGTGCCCAGAGGTGTAGACACCCTCTCCAAGGCAATAATGATGATTCTGTTCAAAGAACATTTTGAAATCTGACCTTCACCTTGTAAAAATTATGCAGACTCAAAACCATTGATGCTTTGAGATTAATCTATTTCCATAGTCCTTTTGTTAAAAAGCGTATAAACAGCTGGAAGGAAACCATGTATGTTAGTGAAGCACTGCATTAATCACTAAAAGCAAACTAGTACAGCACTCTTTTGATATTCTGATGTAGAACCAAATGCATGCTACATCCAGAAACTAAAAACCGCAGTAATTGAGCCAAATTATTTCAAAGTAGAATACTCACCATCCATCAAATGTGATAATGTGTGGATCAGTGAAAGAGTAGCAGTTCCCTGTTGGGAGGTCTCGAACTGTGACCTAGTTAAAATGAAATGTGTAATGAATACAGTCTACACAGCAGTTTTTCTTCATTACTGTTCCTCACAAAACATTAGGGGCAGGATTCATGTGTCAAGTACAACTAAAATCTGACTTCTAAAACATGATTGCGAACGGGTACAAAATAGGCTTTGCTTTCAAACAATGGAGTTTAATCACATGCAATAAGCAAGTTCAAAGTGCTCCTATTCCACCTGATGTAATGCATTGTCTTTCTTTATCTGGTAAAAAGTGAAGTTTTTTATTAAACTTTTTTGCTAAGAAGTAGATCATTCGCTGAAATTATCAAGAGAGTAGAGTGCTCATTAAATTGTACTAATTTTAATGCCTGAAGTATGGTATAAGGTATGCTGTAATTAAGTGGCATTAGCATATTTTAGCAGTAGTCACTGCCTGTCCCCTAATTTGTCCTTAGATTACCTGATACAGAATGTGAATGGCTGATTTATATATTTAATGTGCAGGTTATTGATCGGGTACTGGTGACGAGACCCCAAATCAGGCTGCTGGAGTTGTCTCCTTTCGGCATGTGAATAAAAGAGGAAAGGACCTACAATAGCAACAGAGATCTTGAGCTGCATCAGCTCTTGGTTACTTGGGCACAGGGTGGGTCACAGACGACATCTGAGAGTGCTGGCACCCTGGAAGGAGCAGTCATGCCTGCAAAAGCCAGACGTAGAGCAACAAACTCTGAGGCTGCTGTACCTGAATCTCAATCAGTGCTGGGCTTGCATTGCCACTTCTGCTCAAAACAGTGGCTTGTTTTTTTGTTTCTTTTTCATGGCTGAAGGCTCTGCTATCCAGTTCTCAGAAATGCAAGACAGGGTTGTGTAGTGATTCGCAGTGTGAAGAGCTCCCAGTCATCCTTGTGGGAGTGATGAAGTGTTAGGGTTTTCCTATATCCAGCCTGCCAGGCTGATTTCTTGGCCAGGGCTGTTAATTCTTTGCTCTCTCTTTGCCCAGGAGAAGTCCAGACGTGCAATTCAGTTAGTTCTACCACAATCCGTGGAGCGAGGAAGAAGAATGGTTGCTGTATCCTTGTGCAGTCTTTCAGTGACAAGGCAGAACTTGGCTTTTAGGAACAGTAGTGAAATTAAATAAACGAGTAAGATGCCGAAGATAGAACCACACTTCCTGACAAAGTTCCTCAGCTGCGGCAATGCATCATCTGTATTTCAGAAATGCCCCTTCGCCGTCGCACAGATGCTGCTCAGACATCCACCAGTGTCTGTCATTCCAAGCTATTAGAGTGACGGTCTTGAGGCCTGAAATACTGAACACCTCTCTGAACTGCATTTTGATCTGAGGTCAATTGTATCATTTGTATCTACAGTGTGATATAAAGAAGTGCCTCAGAATTTTCCTATTTTCTCCATGGCTGCCACCTCCCTAAGTAAAACCTCTGTGCAAATAAACCCACGTGGCTCTTTGCATTCTGCTTTTTTCTTGCATGATGGCAGTGGAGGATGGAAGTCCTAGCTGTAGGCAGTCTTAGTTTGCTGAAGAAATCCACTTTATCAGGTGTCTGAATGGGTCAGGATGTTCTGCCCACCATTTCCAGATAAATCATATTTTTCAGATATATTTTTCAGATAAATCAAAAATATTTGAACAAGTCTGAAGCACTGAAGATTATGTGGATTTTAATTTATGGGTTTTTCCTTGGTATGTTGCAGGAGTCGTGTTATATTAAGGCCTCTAATTAACTGCAAAGCAGCAATAGGGAAATGGAAGGGAGGGAAAGCAAGGTCTATTATGTTTCCATAGATCAAGTTTTAGCTGAGATAGATGGAATTTATTATCAAAATTGATTAATTCCATTTCACACTTGCTACATTTTTGTATTTTAATGAAAGCATTTGTAACTTCAAGAAAAAATATGAATATATGAGTGCACTACACTGAATTAGCAGCAATTTCTGATTTAAGAATCTTAAAAAGTTTGAAAGAAGCCTGTGCATGAGAGCAAGGGATATAGTCCCCCGCTAGGCATTTTACCTTTGAAGACAAAAATTCTTTTGGTCCAGTTTAATCTCATTCTCTCATGAGCAAATCCACAAGAATTAGGGCAGTGGAGGCAGAGATTTCATTGAGGGTTTGTTTTTTGTTGCTTAAAATATACCAGCTTGGATGTGCCACTGCTCTGAGAAATTTAGCTGAGTCAAATCTGTGCTCTGGTTTATCCTCTCCAGCGGTGGGATTACGGCTCTCAAACCTCCCGGCTGAGGCCCTGAAACAACTTCACAGACAGCGGTCTGGTCCCTGCTCACCACGCTCCTTTGGCCAATCTTTCTGCAGTAGCTTGTCTCCCTGATTGCCTCTTACTGTTTTTATTTGGGATGTTTTGTACAGGGATAAACGTAGAGAAGGCGCAGCTGCACCTGCCGTTGGAGATGTCCTGGTGATTCCTGGCACAGGCACAAGTTGAACACGGCACTGCTGAGTCCCAGCCCTCCTTTCTCACTGCTAAGGCACTGCCTTTCCTCTGCTGTTTCAAAAACGGTTCTCCAAACCCTTGGCTTTCCCTCTCCTGCCTTCTCGAAAAGCTCCTAATTCCCTAACCTCTCTTCTCTTTCTGTTCCCGCACATGCAAGCACACCTGGTTACAGCTATAACCCAGCTGTTGACCTTACTGATCTGCTGACTAATGAAACCTAAATCTCAAAGCACAAGGCTTTACATATTAGTTTTCTTGGTGCGTAAAGAAGCTATTTTGGTGGTTTGCTCTGCTGACAGCAGCCCCCAACTGTTTATGTGGTTAAGGTTTATCAACATCTCATTTTCTTTGATACTAAACCTCCCATTTCAACTCAACAAGTTTTTTCCAAATTATTTTAAGACCCGACCTTCACGTCCTGGGCTGTGTAAGCCCTCCAAAGCAAATCCTTCCATCCGACTGGCTCAGCTCTGATGCGGCTGATGCGATTCCCGTCCTGAGCAAAGTCTGTCACGGCCGTCACCGTCAGCGTGGCTGCTGCACAGCTGCCTCCCGAGCAGGGCGCCCGCAGCAGATCCACCTGGCATGCCGAAAGGGCGATGTTTGGCGTCCCCAGGAACTGGCTGTCTAAAATGAACACCAACACCGAGTCCGACACGAGCTAGCCAAACAGTCGCCCGTGCCCTGTTTACCATCCAACACAAATGTTTCACATTCCAGGACACATGTGCCTTGAAACCAGACAGGGTTTGCATGGAGGCAGTTGTGACTGACTCAGTCTGGCATCCCTCGGCACATTTTACTCTGCTTTTTATTTATTTATTTTTACCCTGCAGTAGATGGTTTACTAAAACTCACTGGTGCTTTTCTTTCCACAGGTGCTAATATTTCTGGAATGACAGTCTTATCATTATGGGTCTGTGCCCCCAGAATGAAGACGAGTGTTTCTCAATGACAAAGAAAGAGTTGAGTCTGTGTTTCTGGGAAACATTTGTCTTTCACTAGCTTTATTATAAGAAGGTATCTGCTGGGAGTTATTTAATTTAAAATAAACAGATTTTTAATTTTTTTTGTTCAGAAAGCAGAGGTTCTTGAGTCAGTTTTTAGTGAATTTTGGATCCATGATAGGAAGGCAAATGCAGCAGATTTGTATTTTTGGCTTGGCTAGGTTATGGTGCTTTAATTTCCAATCTGTAAAATGATGGTAGTTTTATTTCTGTCTTTCACAGAGGCATTGTGAGGCTAAAATCACTAAAAGAACGTGGACAAGTAATGAGCTATGGTGGTATTGGCTATGTAAGTATCTGTGACAGGTGGAGAAGTGCTGGGTGGTGACAAAATCAGTATGGCAGTGGCAACCCAGGTCACCCGTGCAGCTCAGCTTCTGCACATCACCTCTTTCCTAAAGAGACCTCTTCTAGCAGCAAGACTGTTAGTGTCCACTTCTCTTGGGTCCTGACTCTTCATGCTGAGGGCTCAGGTAAAGGACAAACCTGGATTTTTATTTCCACAGATGTGGGATTTTTTTATTTACAGACACTCATTCATGATAGCATTTGGTTCTGAGACATTTGGTTTTTTTTTTTTCGTAGCATGTTCCTGCTCCTCAGGGAGTCACCCAACCCTTCGTGACTGCTTTTGTGGGTAAAAAATGAAACTGTGGCCCTACTGAAGCCAGTCAGAATCTTGCTGATGATTTCAGGACTGTTAGTGTTTGTGCCAAGCATTTAGTTGTCTATCCCATACCATTAATTATCAGCTGCTAAGAACAAAGTTCTAGAAATGGTGGCAATGTAATTAATCTGATATGGACATAAGTGATTTTCCTATTTTTTTCCCATTTATAGAAAGCTGCATAATTTATAGGAGGTGGCATTCAAGTATTTTAAGATGGTATTTCTAACACAATTAAATAATCAGTGTTTTATTCCGTATGGAAAAGACTCATAAAAAATCATTTAAGTTAACCCTGTAGAGTTCTATGGGAACTGAGTTAAAAACCTGCAAATATTAATGGCGCATTATCTCTCATGTCAAATCCTTAAAGGCTGCCTCAACTCTTACAGAAAAGTCCTGGCTCATTTTCAAGGTTCTTGATTCAATTAAATTGGAGGTTTCCATGAGGAATAGTTATTGCCATTACAGCCCCATGAGCTGCGCTCACAACCCAGAACAAAAGTTTAAAATCAAAGAAAATTATCTTGTCAAAATAGTAATGATAAACTTAACAGAACCCAAACTCCAGTGGCTCTGCTGTGCCTTGGCACTCGTTATGATACTGTCTGAACTTAGAGAGATATTTCTGTGCTTGTAATTAGCTTTCTTATCACTTATTCCCTACATAATTAGCACAACAGCGTTGTTGCATGGATTCAGTCAGACAAGGAGCTTGTCAGTTAATTTATTCGGTATAAAGGAATCTCAGCTCAAATTGTTTTTATTTTCAATTTATGGTGCCGTGGCTGACACTACGTTTTTCAGAAGCCCACAGTATTCCGTCAGATAAACTAATGGACCCTAAAGACAATAAAGGCACAAACCAAACGTCGTTATGCAAACACCCCACAGCAGCTACTCAATCTTAAGTACATATAGATATCTCACTTGATCATAAACGGCCCAAGTGTCATCCCAGGAAATAGCCTCAGGATGGAACAATCAAGGGCCAGAGCTGATTTTTGGTTTAAGCTGCAGAAATGAGTTGATTAAAACTAACAGAAATTTTCTGCTTCACTGGCAACTTCCTTCAAGGATTAGTTAATCAGTGGGGTTGTGCCTCCATCCTGGCACCTCTTGGTACCAACTTACTGGCAGCTGGAAATTAAAGCTGTTTTGCCAAGTCTTGCCTCCCTCTTTCTTCCAGTCAAGTGCATTTTGTGGGACTGGAGAAGACCCTGGCAAGGGGTCAGCCTCAATCTCAGTCCAATCTGTCGAAATCATCTTCTCCCACCTGAGATCTCCTGGACCACGCATTCATCGTCAGTGAGGTTTTGAAAGGCTTTATCAGTGCCTGAGAAAATGTGAGTTAAAAAACTCGACCTTGACAGTCTATGTGACTAATGATTGGTAGGTGTCCAAGTTGCTTGGAGTCTATGGGGACGTCCCAACACACACCAGCCTGTGCTCTTAGCTACCTCTAACTAAGAAAATCTGTTCCCATGAGCTCAGCAGATGTTTGTCTGGTGGACCAGCAGACTCTAAGCCAAGAGCAATATGTAGAACAGAGCAGTACTGAGCCATGGAGAAATGCAAAGTACTCCTCATACAAGAGCCAACACAGCTGCTGGAACCATAAGGTGCTGTTCAGTTTAAGAACATTGTGTTATGATACCATTTGAATTATTTTTTTCTTCTGTCTGAGCACTTGGCTGATGATGAGGAGAGAAAGGAGAGAGATTTAGAAAGGGAAAAGTATCAGGAACTATCTGGGTTTGCCAACATTTTTGTGAGCTGGCTTTTTGTGGGTAGAGAAATTGTGGCTGTAATTCTATCTGTAAACATTTATCTCATCGAGTCACTTATGGGAGAGAAGTAAATGCCTTGTTAGAAAAAGGGTTGGGTGTTTTATTTAGAGCAAATGGAAAGTAACTACATATGGATGCCCCCCTTGGTTTGGCATATTATTCCACCAGGTTAACCTGAGGAGAGCATTTACTGATTAAAAGGGCAAGAGTTTTCTAAGTGACATTGTCAGTGTTTTCAAGTGAAAAAAATACTTTTTGAAAAGAATAATATATAAGCATAAGAATGATTTTTTCTTCTATGTTAAGTTAGACAAAAGCTTTAAGCCAGCAAAAGAAAGAAAAAAGGCTTCAGTACACATTTGCTGAATAATAAATCTGCAGGTGAGCTTCTTATTGATAATTAATGAAATTATTCCACCTAAGACCATTGCCGCTACAAAAACTTTAAATGGAATTTTATACTCCTGGAATTTAAAATAAGTTCTTTTACTCACAGCCATTTCATCCATAAATCTCAGTGGACTGCTGTTCAGGTTATTGCTAGTCAGATTTTTTTTTCCCCTCAAAAACATGTGTGATAGTATCTTCTACTTTATTTTGCAAACAAATATACAGCCTACTTTGTTGATTTTTTAGCTTCTGCCCTTTGTTGATATTTACATCTCACATTTTCTGGTAGAAGTCACTGTAACATAAATACATGAAAAAGTAATCATATTGATACAATGCCAGTATGTAAAACTTACCCAAATCCTCAGTACTTAGCTGCAAAGTAATTTTACAGGAATCGTGCCCATGACAAGTGATGGGCACAGTGCTCAGAACGGTCAAAACATGCTCTTTGCCATCTTCTGCAATTTGTAGTGATTCTGGTAAAAACTGGAAATAAGAAAATAATTTTTAGATCGTTTTGACACGGTAATTAGGCCACACTGATATTTATGAATTTTTGAGTGTTTATAATCAATTATGAAAAATATAATTGCTTGTTCAATAACTATAATATTTGTAATAATCCTCATAATAGTAGTCTTCGTAATAATATCCTTCAACTTTATAAGGTGGACTTATTGTTAAAATACTTTAACATTCTTGACAATTAAGAAGATGTTTGCAGTTGTCATATACAGATTCTAATTGCTTTTCATCTCCTAATCACAAAACGGGTTTATATTAAGCCTGAAAATAGCATAATACCATAGAGTTTATTCATTTTTAATATCCTTGGTTAAAACGAGCTCCTATTCAGTCACACTAGGTGAAATACCATGACCTAAAATATGGCATTACCTTGTGGTCATGGACTCTTTGTTTTTACTCTGGCCCAGGTACAAAGTGAGCACAATTTTCCCCAATTCCTCCCTGCTCTGTCAGGAAGAAGGATTTCTCAGTGTCTAGTGGGGTCCCTCAGGGGTCAGTGCTGGGGCTGTTGCTTTTCAATATATTCATCAATGACCTGGATGTGGGATTAGAGAGTGTTGTCAGCAAGTTTGCTGATGACACAAAACTAGGAGGAGTGGTTGACACACCAGAAGGCTGTGCAGCCATTCAAAGAGACTTAGACAGGCTGGAGGGATGGGGGCAAGTGTAGAGTTTTGCACTTGGGAAAGAATAACCCCACGTGCCAGCACAGGTCGGGGACTGACCTGCTGGAGAGCAGCAGAGGGGA